CAATGACTTAAGTTAACACGTAGTTAAAAATCGAATCTAACGAGAATATCAACACATATAGCATATCATGAGTTTGAGATTTGCAACAAAGCATTGAAAAGAGGATGCACACGCAATCAAGTAGACACAAGCTAATCTCGAGAACTCTCATGAATGGGATTAACAAAGCAACACTCGATTCACTCCTTGGGTTAAGTGTATCGCTCAAATCGTCACTACACTAACATGTATCTACCATAAGCTTGAAAAACCTCTCACTCTCTACTACTTGGATAAAATACATGCTTATAAATCAAAAGGTCTTAAAAGGTGTAACGAAAAACAAGGCTTGGGTACGGTAGGGAGATATATAGGAAAAGTGACTAAGACCTAACACCAACGGAGAATATGGCTAGTCAACTACACTTTATTTTTATTTTCACAAAGGACTTTTGCATTTATCTTTGAAACTCATTCCTTTTCGGACGATAGGGAATAGAGATAAAGCGTTTATATTCAACCGTATAGTCATTTTCGTCGTCTATTTTTATTTTTTATTGACGACGTAATTTTGCTTTTCACATGTGTATATATATATTTTTTTTTCTTTGAATTTTCTGTTTTTTTTTCTTTCATTTTTTTTCTTCCCGAACATACGAATTCTACTTTCAAGTATAGAGGGATATTGGGATCACTCCATTGGTGCTTAGTCGGGTGAGTCGWGTTTGGATTGGTTCATGATGTGGGTGACAAAGGAAATAGGCTAAGGCTCAAAGTGGTGTGCAAAAGGGATAATAACAACATAAGGGGTAGGCTTAAGGCTAGTGGTTTAACACAAAAATGAGCAAACGATGGCCTTTATCATGTTTATTAGCATGTAAATATCATGTAGTCTTAAGGAGAGAAAAATCAAGTTCTAGAGATGCATATCTAGGCATGACTCAATCACACAAGAAATGAATTTGAGACTAATATCAATTATTTAGTCTAAATAAGCTCAAAGTCTCACGGTGTTCAAAACTAGTTCAAGAGATTAACAATAGTCTACTTTGACCGATATGCTACCACTAATCAACTCTAAGTGCTATCAATCAAGCTCAATCATGCTATACATGCATCCAAACTCATCATCATCAACAATTTAAGCTCAATAAAAGCATGCTAACACATTGTCAAAACGGACAAAGATTCTCATTTAAGCACAAAATTTGCAAAATGCAAAAAAAATTCGACCCCTAAAACCATTTATATACCCAATTCATGCAAATAACCCCCACCCCCACACTTAATTCATACATTGTCCTCAAGGTATGCAATAAGTAGAGGACACTCTAAGCAATTAAGGAAAAGGGAACAGAAAACTCCCCTGATATGATGAGTGACCTCCCAATGTAAGAATCTATGGAGATGGGCGCGTCTTCTTCAAGCGTCCAACATTCGGGGTGAATCTGAGAACATAGAAATCCAAGAGTGAAACTAGAGAATCTAAAAACAAACTAAATAACTAAAAACAATAAATAGCAAGAAAAGGAAATCCGTGGGTTGCCTCCCACGCAGCGCCTTTCTTTTATGTCTTTGGCTAGACCATACTCAGTTCAATTCTCGTAGCTTGGCATGTCCAAAGCTACCCTCTCTAATTTCGGATCAATTGGCAATGGTGAACCTGCACGAAACGATCTTGGCATAAACAGTAAAAACTTTGCCGAGTCCCCGGCAACGGCGCCAAAAATTTGACGGGTGTCGAGTCCGGCAAATAATAAAATTTATGAAAATAAGCCTATTATCTCTAAAACACACTTGTAATAGCGATAAGTAGGGTTGTCTCCTCAGGGACTCGGTGTTAACTGTAAGTCCAAGACGTAATCTCGTGCAAATTCATTAACAATAAAACTATATATAAAAAGGGGGAGGGTTGGATGATTTATAAACAACCTAAATATGCAAAATAAATTGAGAACTTTAAACACTAATAAGAAYGAGACTAGCAATGAGCATCAATCAACTAATCCTTTGGATTATATATCATCGACTCATTCAATCCGTTTTCTCAAAAGAAACCAAGTTGGTTAGGACATCGACACGCGTCAATATTCTGTTTGTTATAAAAGCATGATCAGTCTTGAACGCTCTACGACTAACCTCTAATTAGCTAATCAAACCTAGTCACAGACTTAGAATTTAATTGCCAATTGCATTAACGTCAAACAAACCCAACACTAATCGACAATCGGACGCCGATTGTTTAGATTAGATTATGCGATCTTACAACATCATCATTTAACCTAAATGTCAACTGTGTATCGTGTGCTACTTCGATAAACCGAAAAGCAATTACGGACTTAAAGGTTTATCTAGCAACTCGAAATTGAATTAGACATAATAAGGGATCCTACTCAAAATATC